CTACAAGGTCCCTTCCAACCCTGCTTCTATGATTCTATGATTTATGCATGTGTATTTTCAGGATACAGCTTTTACACAATAATATTTGCAAAGTTTCAAAATAAAGAATTAAGTTTCTGATTTGACTTTTGTTCTTACAGTCTTAATTTAACATATTACCTGTTTTTTGTTGTCTTTCTCTTTTCACAGATGAATAGTGAACAAAAAAGGCGAAGAGTGAGTTAAATCATTTGGTGTTTTACTTTTCTTAAGACAGCTACTGTATGATTTTTATACAGAAATAATACAGAAATTATGTATATGAGAAATTAGTAGCTAATAAATTAGGTCAACTTTTAGCGTTTACCTTGTGGGATAGGTGAATCAAGAAGTGAAACAGGAGTTATTATTTCCATGTCTAGCAGAAGGAAAGTACTGCATGTCATATCTTTTGTATAAGATCTGATCCAAATTACACTTAAACTAATGGCAGGATTCCTATTATTCGTTTTTGGACTGAAGCTATGAATCACATTCTGGCTTCTTGGAGGGGTGCAGGGGGAAAGGTTTAGGAAGCAGGGAGGGTTGTGCATCTGATTTTAAGAAGAAAACTGTATGTGTGCAGAAGTGCAAATCCAGGAAGATGGTATGCCTTGTCTCTGGAATATGCATTTATCTTGAAGAGTCGTTCTCTCCTAATGTCCAAATTGATGTCCCAACATATGCCCTAATTAGCCAAAGGGAGAGGGTCACACCCACTTCATCAAAGTGTTTATACCTTTTCCTGTTGGGTAGGCTAATTTAAAATGTTTAAGATTTTAAGGAAGTTTTTAATGTTTAAGAATTTTAAAAAGTCAGCCCTTTCTCTGGGTTTTAATAAACCTGTTACCCAGAAGCAGTTTCCTCCACTAGGATTCTGCAGCTTTAATATTAGTTTTAGAAGAGTTTGTCAGTTTGATCATCAGTCATAATAACATGCTCCATAAGTGTTAGCAGAAATTGAGGGGGGGTAAAAAGAACACAGTACATGGATAGTATCGTATACCATCTCTGAATAAGAAGAGGCATGAAAATGATTTTGCGTCTTAGAATAGCCTTCATTATATTACTTTAAAAGATTGATAATACTGTGACACTACAGATGGAATATAGGAGTGACACACAAAAGGAGTTTGTTATTCAGTTTAATGTAAACATTCAAGAACAAGTTATTAGATTGATAATAATATTGTCCTTTCAGATCAACTATCTCTTTATGAAGGAGTGTGTGGCCAGTAACCCAGTAGTTCCTATTCAACAGCAGTGGCTTATGTCCATGCTCAGATGGGTTCCTGAGTCCCTCAGAGAAGGCAAGGACAGAAAGTTACTGGTTGAAGAGCTTTTTGGTGAGGTAACAAGGGATTTTGAAATGAGCATGAAGAGATGTGTAGGTAAGTGCTACAAATTACATAATCTTAATACTTGAAGTATGATTATATAAATGTTATTCTGTATTCAAAATTCTCTTGCCTAAAAAGATCGTTTTCCTGGGTCGTAGTTTCAGTCATATTACGTGATCTTTGGGGAGATCCATTTGTTCCACACTTTTTCCTGTTCCCAAAAGCTTATAAAATAAGTATATTGTAATAGACGATAAGAAGGCTAAGTAGGCCTAGCTAGAGAAAAATTGGGGAGAAAACTCCATGGTGGCTGAGACCCCCAACATAGAAGTACAAACCACATCTGCAAGGCATGGGACACATATAGGGGTGGTCAGAGCATGCAAGGAGCGTGTCTTTGCTATAGCTTTTCCTCAAGCTAGTTTAACTCCGTTTAAGAAGATATAGAATTTGTGGCCTATGCACCAGTTTTTGTTTATGGTACAGAGCAGCAATGCTCAACCTTGAGCTCACAGGCCAGATCTAGCATGTGAAGCCATGTCATCCAGCCCATAGGTCCCTGTGGGTCTGGAAATGTGGCAGTGGGGGAGCAGTGGTAGTGTTAATTGCTGCTTCCCTGCGGTCAAATTTCTAGACCTGTGGGGAGCCTTGAAGGTTAGATGACATGGCCTCGTGCACTAGATTGTGCCAGTGCATGGGGTCACTCTGTGATTACATCAGGTGTGCAGAGTCCAGACAGAACTGGCATGTGGGTTTGGGCTGGCATGCAGCTGGATCTGGTGAATGGGGCTCGGCCATCCTGCACGGCTGGATCAGCATGCTGCATCCAGTGCACGGAGTGATGCCACACATCAACCCCATGCTAAATCAGACCTACAGACTGACCCCACATGTGGAACCTAGGCTGAGGACTGGCCTCATACCACTCATTTGGCTTGCAGAGCCAGAAGGTTAAGCACCACTGATATAGAGCAGGGGTTTTCAACCTTTTGTAACAAGTGTACCGCTTTTGTCTCAAAGGTTCAGCTCATGTAACCCTTTATAGTTCTTGTTTTTTGGGGGGGCAGATTGAGGCCTTGAAGTGAGAGGAGGAGTGGGGCAGGGGCAGGCACTGCTCAGCTGGGGTGGGGTGGGGTGTGGGACAGAGCTGTGAGCAGCTCATCGGGGTGTGTGAGGAGCAGGGTGTGGTTTCTACTGCTGTGCGCACCCTGGGAGGTCATGGGGGGCATGTGCCCCTGGATCTGCACATGGGGTGAGGGTGGGCTGCCACTGTGGGGGGAGGGGATGGGAAGATGGAGGCCCCACTGGTGGGGAGGGAGTGTGGCTGGGGCAGAGCCAGGGGCTGCCTAGCTGGAGCGGGGTGCAAGAATGAGATGTGTGGAGGGGCGGCTCCCGCTGCTATATGCACTCCGGGAGAGCATGGGGGCAGTGTGTGCCTTCAGATCTGTGAGTGGTGGCTGGGCGGGCTGCCACTGAAGGCTGAAGCACAGGGCTGTTCCCGGCGGGGGGCTGGGCTGGGCTGTGCTCTGGGTGGGTGACGGTGGTGCTGGAAGGTGGGTTATGGGGGTTCTACAGCAAATTGTGGAGTGGCTGTAGCCCCCCTCCATAGCCCTGCTCCTGTAGGCTCCTGTGGTGAGGGAGAGAGTGGGGCTGGAGCTGGGCCTGGAACAGGTAAGGCACTGACCAGCTGAGGCAGAGCACGGGACAGAGCCATAAGTGGCTTGTCTGGGAGGTGCGGGAGTTGGCAGTTCCTGCTGCTACATACACCTCGTGGGGTGCTGCCAGATCTGTGCATGGGGCAGGGCGGGCTGGGGCTGCTCTGGGCTGTTTCCGGGAGGGGCTGGGCTGCACTTTGGGCGAGTCATGGTGGTGCTGGGAGGGGGCTATGGGAGTGGCTGCAGCCACTTCAGCATTCCCCAGGCTGCCTCCCAGTGCTACCCAGCGCAGCTCTGCCCCAGCCCACAGTGACCCGCAGCCCTCCATGCCCCACAAGCAGATCTGGGGCATGCGACCCCAAGCCCTCCCAGGTTGCATGCATCTACAGGAGCAGCCACTGCCCACGACCCCTGGACAAGCCATTCATGGTTCTGTCTCATGCTCTGCCCCCTGCTTCACGGTGGGGGACTATGAGAGTGGGTCTATGGGGGGAGGGGCT